TATTTCTTCCTCTATGTTAATATTGGGGAGTGTTACTAAGATGACAATTAGTTAACATCTTGATATTAATTATAGTAGGATTCATCTTCTTTAATATTCTTCCTTGAGTATTAATTAATCTCTATTCATATTTCATATTAATATTTTGAACATTACTTAAAGGATCAACTAGTTTTGTTTCACATATTAATTATTACTAGAAACGATCAACGAACCGATGGTTAATCGTTGATAGTTTCACAAGTAAGTAACTTCGGTTTATTAATGCACGGTCGTGGTTAATAAACTTAAGAGGGATTAATTTTGTTGATTAAACCGAAACCGTTGTGTTGAGGTTATCAATCTCAATTGATTTCATCAAGGAGTTAAAAGATTAAATGCTACTATCAAGTCGGTATATGGCGTTGTTCTATACTTGACTAATAGTAAGGGTTATTAATGAACGGTCGTTGTTAATAACTATCCTCGATGAATTGGATATACTCCTCGATTGAGTATTCGAGAGGAAATAAGTTATAGATATAACAATGATCAACTAAAATATATCAACAAGTGGAAAGTAGCAATGCCAAGTCCCTTTTATTCTTGATTTTAATCCCACATAACTCGTTCATCTTCGTGTTTAATTTAATTAAATCACTCAATCAAAACTCCCCCCTTTATTTACTATTTACATAAAAAGAAAGTTATTCCTTTCCCTGTGGATACGAACTCTACTACGCTATACTACGTATTAGTGTTAGTATTGAATTTATTTTGACGCACCGTGACAAAGTGCCCGTCAGCTTGCTTTTGACTCAGGTAGGCTTCCTGATAAAATAAACCACACTCATTTAGTATTGATTCCCAAGAAGGATAATCCATAGGTTATGGGGGATTGGAGACCCATATCACTGTGTAACGTGGTTTACAAGATTTTCTCGAAGGTTTTAGCAAATAGAATGAAATCTTTGTTGAATGTGATTATTTCAGAGAATCAAAACGCTATTATCGTGGGACGTTCTATTGTTGACAATATCATGGTTGCTTATGAAACTTGTCATTATCTGAAACGGAAGAGACAAGGTAGTACATGATTTGTAGCATTGAAGCTTGATATGAGTAAAGCATACGACCGGGTGGAATGGGGATTTTTAGAGGGTATGTTACGAGCTTTGGGCTTTGAGGATCGGTGGAGCTCGCTGTTATTGGAGTGTGTGAAGACAGTAAAATTCTCAATTCCGTTCATGAATTCTGAGATTGGTCCAATTGTCCCTCAAAGAGGATTGCGGCAAGGGGACCCGTTGTCCCCTTATTTATTTATTTATTATCATGGCAAAGGGGTTGAGTCTACTGATAAAGAAACAAGAGGCGATGAAGAAGCTCCAGGGGATAGCAGTGGCAAAAAAAGCTCCCAGGATCTCTCATCTACTTTTCGCGGATGATGCTCTCCTATTTTTTGGGCAACACACAGTGACTGCTCGGTGATTCGGGAAATACTTGAGGAGTATGAGCAAGCGTCTGGGCAGGTGATAAACTATTCTAAATCAATGCTAAACTTTAGTGGAAATGTCACAGCAGGGGACCAACTGGGTATATCTGAACTGTTTGGAGTCGGGCAGTCTGGCGGGGACACTAAGTATCTAGGATTGCCTTCACTTGTTGGGAGAAAAAAGAGGGCTATCCTGGGGTATAATCGAGAACGAGTTATCTCTCGAATCCAAAGTTGGAATAATAGATTCCTATCGAAAGCGGGCCATGAGGTGTTATTGAAATCTGTCATTCAAGCTATGCCGATGTACGCAATGCAGGTCTTCCTACTGCCAGGTGACTTGTGTAATGAAATTGAGAGAATCATGAATAAGTTCTGGTGGACTGGAGGCTCAGACCGGGGTATATATAAAATGGAGAAGCTGGGACGGGTTGTGTAAACCAAAGGCAAGGGGAGGGATGGGATTTAAACGGCTTCGCGAGTTTAATATTGCAATGCTCGGTAAACAAGCGTGGCGTTTGCTTTTAGCACCACAGTCTTTAGTAGGACGAGTTTTTCAAGCTAGGTACTACCCGAAGGCTACATTCCTAGAGGATGATTTGGGGAGTAACCCCTCATTCATATGGAGGAGTATTATGGAGGCTAAAACAATTGTTGTTAAGGGATATCGATGGAGGGTAGGTGATGGGAAGACAATCAAGGTTTGGTCTGACCCGTGGCTACCAGGAAAGGACCCTATGGTTCACACATCCAAATGGGAGGGGCTGGAAGATTTAACAGTAGCAGGGCTAATGGAAATAGAGAGCAAGAAATGGGACATAGATATGATTTCGGATATACTGGATCCAAGAGATAAGGATCTTGTTTTCGGCATCCCTTTGAGCAATCGAGAGGTTCCCGATAAAATAATTTGGGCATGGGAAGCGCGAAGGGAGGTTACTCGGTTAGGAGCTGTTATAGAGCACTGATGGGTGATTGTGAGGACATACGGTGGATGGGCTGGACGCGTGTTTGGGGCCTAGCTATTCCGCCAAATGTAAAAATCTTTTTTTTGGCAACTTTGTGCAGGGTATCTACCGACGGCTGATAAGCTTAGAGACAAGAGAGTTAATGTCCCGGGTGGATGCTGCCGGTGCGAAGAGGAGCTGGAAACAGTTTGTCATGTTTTTGGGAAATGCAGAATTGCTAAGGAGGTCTGGGGTAGACTAGGTTGGGGAGAGAGCGTGGGAGAGGCAGATTCGTTCATAGCGTGGGTCGAACAATTTTTTCCAGCCATGAACGAGGAGTGTTGGAGCCTGTTGGTGATGAATTGTTGGGGCATTTGGAGAGCACGGAACCAGCAAGTGTGGAAGGGAGAAGCATCCTCAGCTGAGCAGATTTTGAGGGGAGCTATATCCTCTTTGGAGTCTTGGAGGAATGCGCAGCAGAAAGGAAAAAAAGAAGTATTGCAGCAGCGGAATAAAGCTTCGCGGTGGAGAAAACCAGCAGAGCAAGTGGTTAAAATCAACACAGATGCAGCCTGTCAGACTAAGGTAAGAAGATGCGGTCTTGGGTGGGTGGCTCGGGATGATTCAGGGTGCTTCTTGGCAGGCGGTGCTTCACCATGGCTAGGAAATTGCTTACCTCGAGAAGCGGAGGCACTTAGCATTCGTGAGGCCCTTAGCTGGATCATTGAACACGGCTCGAGCAATGTGCTTTTTGAATCCGATGCTTTGGAGGTTATTTCAAGTATTAATTCTGATAGCGGAGATTCAAGTTTCGGCCTTATTGTGAAAGATATTAAAAGCATGAGAGAGTTTGTTCCTAGTATCTCTTTCGTTTATGTTAGACGGTCTGCGAATTGCACCGCTCACTGTCTTGCTAGGGCGGCCGTTTCTATGTCTAATCGTGAGGTGTGGGTTTCAACCCCTGGTTGTATTCGGGATGTTATGCACTTTGACTTGATAAGTGATACTATGTATTTAATAGTTTTTCCTTCAAAAAAAATTTATTCTAATGAATTTTAAATCATTTGGATAGAATTACAATTTACACACAAAACATTCCATCTGAAATCTCTGACCCCATCCACACCATCCTATGCACTTTCTCCGTCAACTTCATCTTATATTCTTCTTGCACAGTAGCTTTTCCATTCCTTCTTGTGCAACCATTTTGATAAAAGCTGGGGAATGCAAATCTCATTTTTCACAAATACAAATTTTAAAGAAATTTGGAGCCTGTTTGGTAGTCATGATTTTTGACTTATTGATCAATTCTGTTACAAAACACGAAATTTTTGATTTTACGCGTTGAATAGTGTAATAATCAAAATAAGTAAGATTTTAGCTATTTTTCATACAATTTTTTCTTTAACAATGGGACAAGGCGGTGCTTCACCATGTTCCGTCCCACTAACAATGGGACAAGATGGAGTGACACGCAAATCAACAAAAAATGATTTATGTGGTTGATATTGAATTGATAAAGTAAAAATAAAGTAAGAATGATTTAGATCACACAAATTTTAACAAATTTGGTATGAGACCATCTTAACGGGACAGATGAAGTATCATAAAAGTATAAATTTATTGAGTTTCGTATGAATATATTTGTTAAAATAATGGATCAAAGTTTATCATCTTTAATTGGAAAAGTCAAAGATGACTAAATAAAAAGGGAAGAAGGATCTTACGGAACCTTCCTCTACTCCAAATTTGATGCCAAGTTTATGGGTATGTTTGGCACAACTATCTAAAAAGATACTTTTACGAGCTTTTTAATAACTGTTAGCTTTTAGTGACTGAAAAGATCTTAAAAAGAAAAGGTGATAGCTGTTTGGTAAAAAGCTGACTATTTGATTTAGTTCGGTTTGGTATACAAGCTGTTAGGACTAATTAATACTAAAAGTCACGAGCTTTTCTCATATGCTACACCCGATAGCATCTCAGAAAAGATCTTTTAATTTTTAAAAAGCTCTTAAAAAATGTCATGTCAAACATACAACTAAAGTCTTTTAAGGTCTTTTTAAAGAATAGAGAAGCTAGAAGCTAGAGCCTTTTGTGTGCCAAACATAGCCTATCTGAAATGTGCTAAAATTTGGTCTCGTTAACCAAAAAGTTCAAACGAATTGCGTTTTAAACGCATAATTTAATGTCGTGATTCGTGAAGTAGAAATTTGCTTCGTCATTGGAGTCAAATATCCGAAATTTTTTGGATCCGTTTATGAAGAGTCGCGAGTTTCCGTACAGTTCTGGGTCATACAGTTGTGGGCTTTGCGCGCGCGTCCTAATATGTTTAAGGATTCGGTTTTTTACTCCCTATAAATACAAGCTTTCTCATTTATAATCACTTGATCCGAAAATTAATAATTATTACTGGCTTGGTAGCGCCCCAGACGTAGTCCTTTGTGACGAACTGGGTTACCAAATTCCATGTGTTATTCTTCGCGTTAATTTATTCTTAACAAAATACTGGTAACGTAGAGGCAATTCTAAGATCAAAGTGAAATTGCAAATTTTTGTTTTGACGCATGTTTGTAATCCTTTGGAACTATAATTAAGGGAATAAAGCATCAATTTAACGTTTTAATGTACGTGGCTCCTCTACGTCATTGTTTTTAGCCATTTTTTCTTCTAAAAAAGATGACACCCCATCCCTGAGGGCCCCCAACACCAACCGAACGACACGATGTGATGATGTAAATTGGACTGTAATCACAATCTGACAGATAGAGAGTGGGGTTCCGTCTCCGGTACTTGCAGAGGCCCTATACATTTTTAGCATAATAACCACTCATCGCGGTTGCCGGGATTTGAACCCGGGACCTAACTCTTGTGACACTCATTCGCTACCAGTTGAGCTACACCCACCGGTAAGACATTTTTCCTTGTGGCGTGTTTGGACGTTGATTGCTTACTCTCGATGAAAGGGAATTATTGAAGGAGACCACTGTTTTATACTTCGTATTCTGTGGGGTTAAAACTTCAAAGGATCATAGGTAGGTAGCATTCAAGACGTTAACAATTGGATAAAATATTCTGATACCATGTAAAATTTCAACTAGGAAAGATACCCTTACCTATTACCGGTCTACTGAAGAGAGAAAAAAGAGAGGATTATTATACTAATCTAGACATAACACCGCAAATTAAGGGAAAGATAATGCCAATGTGAATGCCAAACAGTCCATGCGGTGGCCGGCGTGAAAAGGGCAAAAGAATATAAAAATAAAAAACGAGTAATTAAGCTCCGGCCGAGATGACTCTACCGATACAGAAAGCAACTTGCCGCCGGAGTGCACGTCGTCGGAAACATTATAAAACTTCGTCGTCCGCCGTGATCAGCGTGTATGTGTGTAATCCTACTATACGGCGTACGGCGTGCTTGTCAATTGTCAGCACCAAATTAACTAAGAAAACGATGTGGTCAGAACATGTAATTGTTTGTCTCATTTCCCGCCGATGAAGACGAAGAGGATCCTCTGTGACTGTTTGCCGGGAATGAAAGACCTCCGGCGAGAAGGTCGTCGGCGCTAGAGATCCCAATACCCGAAATGTTTCCGTTATTGGGAGAGGCGGAGAACATGAAGTGTCCGCTCTGCGACGGCTGATACTGCAAGTGATACCCGCTGTTGGCCCTCGCCGGAGCCGGGTTGAGAAGCTGAGGATGGCGGGGGATACTGCTCCCCAACCCGAACCCGAAATTCATGCCCGACCCGGGATGCAGAAACGGGTAGTGACCCGCCTGCTGCGCCGCCAGGGCAGGCCCGCCGGTGAACTGCTGCACCATGGCGCGGAAGTTGGACGCGTCGGTGTTGAGAACCGTCGTCGGAGTTCTCCTGGAAGCTCGGGTCCTTCTGCGCACCGCCGGCTTCGAAACCCGGCCCTCGGGGCTCAGCCTGCCGCCAAGAGAGTGCGGTGCGGTAGGGGAAGTCACGGTGGTGGTGACCACCGTGGCGTCGGAAACCCGGCCGTCGCCGCCGAAAAGATTGGTCAAGGGGTCCTGACACGACGGCGTTAAGCTGTGCTGATAGAATTGAGCCCAGTCGCTTGGGCCCACCGGCATGGTTTCACTCAGGGCCATTACAGAACAGATTATTGGTGTTATGGTATAAGGAATTAAGGAGTGTGTTAATTAAACTAGTGATGAATTGAAGAAGGAAGGAAGAAAAGATTGGGAGAACACTGAGTTAAAAACATATTTATAGGAAAAGGAAGGGGGGCCGGGATTGAAAAGGTCAAAGTGCCAAAAAGTCAAAGATTGTACAGTAGCCGGAGAGTTCCATTATGGAGGCACGGGATGAGGATCGGAGATGGCGACCCGCCCGCTGATGTATGGCGAAAGGAGGACACGTGACGTAGCACGTGGGCGCGCTGCGGTAATTGTTCGGCATGTCGTGACCGACCCACTGCTTGGAAGTTTCCTTGGTCGTGGTTTACATTTTACAACCATTGTCACTTTTCACCGTACACGTTTGTGAGTGGGGGTTGTTTTCATCAGAGTTGCGAAACCCATTTTTCATTCACAAAAGAGGTTCAGGTTCCGTTTGGGAATCAATCCAACATTAATGTTGATCATAATTCATACAAACATACATACCACCGCTTGTGTCTTGAGATAGTGACAGGCAAAAGGATTTGTTTTTTTGAGGTTGTGTCAAGCAAAAGGATTCGATTTTGCCTCCAAACGTTTTAAATTAATTAAAATATAAACAGGAGTGGGCTAGGTAGGGTAGGGTAGGGGTAAAGGGTAAGGTATGTGGATGGAGGTACCGGAATGGAATCGACATCGGAGCGGGACCGGACCCACCACTAGGGTGTAAGTATGTAAATTCATTGCAGCGGCACTGTAGCATCTGCGTTTTCCAAATTTGGAAAACTAGTAAAAATCACTTCTCCAAATTATTAAGGAAAAGAGAGACATGTCTCATTTTTTCCGTTTTGGAAAACGATTTGGTAAACGCGTTTTTCTTTTTTCCTTTCTCTAGTTTTCCAGCAATTTCTTTGGTAAACACGTTTCCTATTTTCTGTTTTCCAGTTTTCCAGTTTTCTAGAAAACTGGAAAATATCTCTGTTAGTAAACAGACCCTTATATTTTTGGACCACATGTAATTGGTCCAAAATGACCAATGACCACTAGTTTTCCTCGGTATCACCTCTTTTCATTTTGAAATAACAAAATGACCACATGTAATCATCCGCCCTTGAACCAGACTCAGAGTTAATCACCTTTGACAAATCAATATAAATCGTTGATCCTAACTTGGGCATAATACAACCAAAGACGATCACCGCAGACTTCTCATCACTCATTCCTAATGCAAAAGTCTTACAACATAAAATCAAATAAAAACAAAACACAACTGTCTTAGCGTGGAAATTAAGATGCAAAAACACAAAAAGTAAACGCCATAGCTAGTCCTCTTGAGCAGAATCACCAAGTGCACCACCAGCAGGTCTAGAAGTCCTGACCCGCCGCCTCCCCATTTTTTTATTCGTCTAGAGACATGCCCTCACCAATTGCAACCTCTTTTGATTGTTCTTCCCAAATCCTTCTACGTTTCGCCTCCCCTAGAACCTCCTCGGTATCACCTATCTCACCCTTCTTGGACACGCTGTTGCTTGTATCTGCTGAGGACTCACGTCGATCCTGTTCCCCTATTCCTTCGGCTTCACTCTCTAAACCTGTCTTCCGCTGTTCAAAATATTTTTTGAGGGCTAAAATTATTTTTTTGAGAACGAAAATTATTTTTATTATATATACACACTAAAAATAAATTTTGTTGGAGGGGCGGTAACCCCCCTGGGTTTGCACTACGGTCCGCCCCTGCTAACACCTCCTAAGCTTGACGAATTATCCACTAACCACTTATTAGTCCCTGTGGGACTTGTCTTCCCATCTCCACCAGCCTGGGGTTCATCCCCAAAAGTTTTTTCCAACACAATATCTTCCTCATATTTCAAGGAGTAGAATTTGTCAGAATGCTCAATCACTCCTCACATGAAACAAAAATTAGGTAGTTTTTCATAAAGTTATTGCCCTAAATAGGAGTAAAGTATCACCAAAATTCTAAAATAGGAGTACACTTAAATTTATTCCCAAAATAGGAGTTCATAAACGTGCTCCCCTTTCCTCTTCCCAATATGCCCTGTGCCCATCCGCTATTTTTTCTCTCTTCCTCATTAAAATCCAACCGCCTCTCCTCAATATCCCGTCTCTTCTGCGACCATGTTCTCTCTTCTCCATGGTGAAATTTGATTCCCCCAAACTTTCCTACGAGCAGCAGTAGCGCATAGGCCAAGTAAGTTTGGATCTTGTTCTTCTTTCTTCTCTGATCTTCTCTTCTTCCTCTTCTTTCTTTTTCTTCTCCTTTCTTATTCCTCTTTTTTTCGATCGATCCTTCCTCCTAATCCCCCCAATTCGTTTTGTACCCTCATTCTTTTTCATAGAATTTCAATTGTATTTTTACAATCGATTTTAATAAATTCATTTTATAAATTTCAGATTAGTTTTTTTTTTTCAATTTGGAATTCCAATTTCACTATTTCTAATTCAATTGTCAATTCAAAAATAAGATGACTTTTCTGTATTAACATGTCACTAATTTCGTATGAATCTGTTAATTTCAACACTTAGTTTCACTTTTATGGCATGAAATTCATAAGGATGACAATATTACTCCACTGCAAATTCAATACTAACAATTTCATGGTGTGTCCATATAAAGTGCTAATTTGACACAATAATGTCATCTATATGGCAATAAAGTTCATTACGATGACAATATAAAGGGTTAATTTGATACAATAATGCCATCTACATGGAACTAAAGTTTAGCTCGATGGCAATAAGAAAACTTATGTTTATAATGCCATGAAATTGTGAAGATGGCAACACGATCTGCATCCTCTGTTTTTGTGCGAATTTCATTAGGAGACATATTTTAGGGCACTCTTTAAAGACTTAAGGTGGATGGTGGTGGTGCGAAAGCTGGTGCTGAAAAAGCCAAAGTTGGGACGGGAATACGGGATGAGTAGCTGCGGCATAGGATCCAACATCAATGGCCGCGTTGTGTCGGCGTTAGAAATAGCAACGGAAACAGGCAGCAGGGGTGGTTGCGGCGGCCGTGGCGGTGGCTAGCAACCGTGGTGGCCACAGCAGCGGTGGTAGCAAATGGTGGTGGTGGCGATAGCAAATGTTGGCAACGACAATTCTGGGCTTCTGGCTTTGGTGTCGCGCACGGAGAATAGTGTTATGAAGCTTTGCGTGTCTGAAGCTTTGAATTAGTACAGAGTAGTTTATTTTATTTATTCAATAAAGAAATCAAGGTACTCTTCATTAAGGGTACTAATGTCAACTTACAAATTTTTACTCCTACGTAGTTATAAGGAGTATTAGACTCCTATTTTTGCACTTTCGTTATAATTTACTCCTACATAGGGAATTAACTTTTTTTCATATTTAAAATCCACCCAATGTCAACTCCCTCTTTCTTTAAACTAGTTCCCTTCTTCAGAGGCTTCCCCACATCCATGCACACCCTTATTCTCATATAAGAATTCAATTTTTCCTCAAACTGGTTCTTATCAAAACTAATAAATGTGCGAATATAGTTTTCATTTCTCCTAGCAGATCCTAGATTCATGAATTTAAATGGTACATTATGGACCTATACCCAGAACTCAGCCTCACATAAATTCATCTTATGGGATATATCATCTGGCTGAACTACCTTTAAGAGTAGTAAATCTCTCTCGAACAACCAAGGACCATCCTCAAGCACACGATTCATATCCACAATATGATAGAAAGTAAAAAGGTATCTTTTTTCTCCAATTTCTTTGATACAAACCCCCTTGCCTGGGCGCCAGATTGAAGCCAAAAGGTCTTTGAATACTTGAAATTTGATTTTCCGATCCGTGACCACGACTCCGACCATCGGGTATTCCACCCTTTCGTCGGCTGCATCAACCTCCCCGGCATCCTCGTCATCAAAATTGAGTTCGTTGTCTTCCTCGCCAATAGCCATCTTCTTATAATTATTTACGATATCATCCATCGAACAACCCCTCGGAAAACGACCTTTGCCCTCTGCCCGTTCCGACCGAAGAGAAATCTGCCGCAAACCAGGCCTCGTTTCTTCTCGACTGCTGATACTCGACGAAAGCGCCAGCCAGCTACGAAGCCCAATCGCAAAACCAGCGGAAATCGTCCCGTGCGGCCGTTCTTCATTTCTAACGAAAACGGAAAAGAACCGGCTCTAGCGGCTAAGCCCTAGAGAGAGAAAATTTTACACATGCTTAGCAGTCACTCTTATTTAAATAACTAGTTTTTCAACGCGCATTGCACGATAGAAATAATGCCCAAAATATTCTCCAACTTATATAGTATCCGCAAGCAAAATAAAACATGGTGTTTTTTTAATAAAAGTAGTCAAATAAATATGATCTTGTTGCAACAATTTGCATTATAATAGAAGGCACAACTATTATAATGTATTGTCTAGCAAAGTGAATTACTTATAAGTAAGCCAAGAAGGATGGATGGGGGTCCAATAATGTATCTACCAATAAATGCAAAAACACTATTTAACTTTAAAATAGAGCAATTAGAAATGAGTGCGGAAGAATGCTTATGTATCAATACACATGATCATAAGTTTGGAAAAGCCTTACATGGTATTTTGATGATATGCATTCAAGGGCTAATTTCTAACATCAATATTACTAAACTAAGAAAATATGAGAAAATAAGATCAAAAATATCAATTGTACTAAAATGATTTTGTACCTTATTAAGAACAGTAAATTGGTTTCTAGATTAGAAATACACATTTCAATTTTATCATTAGTTGAACTTCGAAACTTTGGAATGTAGGTAAAATAAATTTGTTAAGGTAAAAAAGGCAACGGGAGAACGAAAATCATGCACATCCACACATTGCAGTTTGTTGAGAAAGGACCTTTAGGGCAACTTGTTTTCACCCCTCCTGATTGTCCAAAGGAGTTATTAGCACAAAAACGACAACATGAGGGGGGGGGGGGGGGGTTAAATAGTAACAAATACATAGAATATATTACTCTGTTCCAAAATAACGTTTCCGTTTCAGTTTACGATGTTTGACATATCATTAAGCTGACCGATCCCTATTAATAATAAGATTACTTTTACGAAA